GGCTGCCCTATCCAGTTAATATAATACATCCATGGTTGTGACACAGGAGGATCACAGTGGCCCTGATGGTGTTCCCTGGGGAAGATATTTATGGAGACACATTTGTTTTTTTATGACTGACGTCCATCTTTCTAGATTGTAGTCGGTGGTCACATGGTCTGCATGGGGTTCCCAGCAGAGGCCCTTTATGTCGCCTGTCAAGAAATGTTTTATTAGTATATTAATAAATGTATGGATCATAATGTGTGTTGAATGTGTCAGCAGCATTCAAATGTTAAAGACTGCTGACAACTTCTTCAAGTCATGAGATTTCATGTGACTCTGGGAGAACAATAGCTATCTTAGACAGAGGCCTGTCATGGGATGCATATGGAATGTCATGATTCTGCAATACAATGCCTGTGAATGTATGATTCCAGTCATGGGTTGACTTGACCCATTTGGGGTCTCTACTTAAGCAAGTTCCTTCATTCATTGTCTTTTTGCTTTCCACCTTGCAGGACCCAGACTTTTTAGTCTGTAATCTGTCTGTGTGTGGTGATGTCAGATTACTGTAGTTTGAACCAGCAATTTATTAAAGAGATTATGTTGTTGAAATGTGAGCAGTTTTATTCACATCGCCCCAGTCTGTAAATAAAAACATTATACCATTCTTTGTTCTTCTCTTAATGTGTGAAAGATGTGTATTTTAATGTGGTGATTATTTTATTTCTTAGTTTATTTGAACAGGGACAGTTCATGAAAACAGTCACAACTCTACTGAGCTCAGAACAGCTATGGACTCCTGCCACTTAAACACATTATTATTTTTGTTATAAGCTGCACATTGTTATTTTAAGAGTAGTGCAAAAAGAGTCACTCTCTGGCAGGCACCCTCTGATTTTTTATATTGTTTTGTTTGTTTTTGTTGTTTTCCTCTTGACAGAGAACAAGATCATTATCTTTATAAAATACTAGGGCTGTCAAATGATTACAATTTTTAATCGAGTTAATTACAGCTTAAAAATTAATTAATCGCATTTCGAACTATCGACAAAATGCCATATTTTTCTGTAAATGGTTGTTAGAATGGAAAAATAAATGACAACATAGTGAACATATGTACAGTATTTGTTTATTATAACAACAATAAATCCTCATAAAATGGCACTAGCATTATTAACATTCTGTCTTTCTGTAGTAGACACTGTTTTTTCAGCTCGACATATGCCACATCTGCTAAAGCCTCCTCTTTCTTCTTCTTCTCTGTCTCATATCATCTGCTAAAGCCTCCTCTTTCTTCTTCTTCTCTGTCTCATATCATCTGCTAAAGCCTCCTCTTTCTTCTTCTTCTCTGTCTCATATCATCTGCTAAAGCCTCCTCTTTCTTCTTCTTCTCTGTCTCATATCATCTGCTAAAGCCTCCTCTTTCTTCTTCTTCTTCGTCTCATAAAGGCTGTGGATCCTCTTCATTATTGTGCCTCTACAAACTATACTTTGTTTCAGGGATGAGAACGGGACATTTGAAAAAAGTCTGAAAAGCATGTCCCCCCCCTCCAGGGGGCGCTGATGGGCAGTCCTTCAAGATCAGGAAGCTTTTGGACATCGTCCTCAGGCTGTGACCATCAGAGTCTGGACCAAGTCTCTCTGGACATGTACGTGAGCTGTCCTGGGTCAGGTACCCCAGCTTTAATGCTTTAATGCATCTACTCTTTGTCACCACTAGATGTCATCGTTCAGAGAGAGAGGACACTTCACAATATGCAACACTTTTATTCTGAATATACACATCTTTTCTACAAATAAACATTCTTTTGGCTTGTTTCATCTTTTTGAAATTTGGCCCAAAACACTTTTACAAACAGCAGCAACTAATCAATCAATCAATCAAAGTTTATTTGTAGAGCGCCTTTCATACACAGGGCAACACAAAGCGCTTCACAGTCCACATCACAAATCATCACATAAAACAAACACCAGAATCACAATTAAAACATTAAAATCACACAAAAGAATAAAACAATTAAAACTTTCAAAATTACACAAGAAATTTAAAAAAATAAATAAATGACAGCAGTGCATTAAAAATGGAGATAAAATCCTTCAGTTATATGCACAGGCAAACAGAACAGTCTTTAACCTGGATTTGAACATTGACAGAGTAGACGCCTCCCTCACATTTTCAGGGAGATTGTTCCAGATCTTAGCTGCATGGATCTGAAACGCAGCCTCCCCATGTTTGGTTCTCACTCTGGGCACCAGCAGGAGGCCAGTCCCTGTGCTCCTCACCTTTACCTGAGCCCAGGACACACAGGTTTACACTTCTGTACTCTGCAAACTTCATCTCAAATAAATCCAAAAGTCCAGAGGGTCTGTGTCTCTCACATTGGAACGCCTCAGGACTCCACTCTGTTGTGTTTCCATCCCACTCTAGTATCTGGTACCGTATCCTAGCAACCAACCACATCAAACCAGTATTCGGGGAATGGTAACCATGGTAACCTTGGCCTCCATCAGCTCTCGTGCTAATCACTGTCAGTTAGAACACTTTAGTTTGGCCTGGATAGAACCAGGGCTGAGCTGGTACTATTTGGGTAGAGCAGAGCAGAGCAGAGTAGAGTAAGTAGAGAATCTTTATTTATACTGTATCTACAGTATTTACAGTACTGTACTGTATTGTAAGTTAGCCTGGCTCTGCCAGACCCATGTAGTTCCGCCGTGCTCCACCAGAGGTGTTTGAGCCACATTGGTCTGGGACTCTTTGATAAGAGTTGGATTTCAGAAGGCAGGGCCTTGTAGAAAAAATCCTTGTATGTGATTGGATAAACCACTTGTCCGTTTTCTTGAATGACGTCTGCTTTCAACCACTCACATCAAAGCACACGACTCCCATAGGTTGCCAAATGCCTGCAACATTATCCAGCCCAAAATCCGCGAGAATGCCCAAAAATAATAAACACTCAGAATTATTTTTGGGCTAAAAACGTTATGTAATCAACTTGGGCTATCATGATTCTGTTTATTGTCTTTCTGTTTATTTATTACCTACAAGTCTCTTGGAAAAAGTATGCGGGAAACCACCCAACCTGGCAACCCCGCTGCATAGTGTTGTAACAGGAACACTGAACCGGTGCTTAAACCAAACTTTACAGCAGTGGCGGCTGGTCCATTATGGGCGGTGGGGCGCCGCCCTTCCTATCAATTTTTGCAAATAAAAATAATATAAAGTTTTTTTTTTTAGTTGAGCAAAATCATGATTTTCTTCTGTACAGGTGTTTTATACACTGAAGGGAGGGGGAGCGGAAGGGAAGGATTGTGTAATATTGTCTGCCATGCTTCATCGTGTGCCGCAGCAGCATCATAAATGTGTAGTTTTATGCTTGGGGCGGCGAGGACAGCGCCCTCGCGTTCTAACCAATAGCGCTCTAATAGTGTTTAAAAACGTCACTACATATCATTAATTCAACCAATCAGGACGCGCAATGTTATTTCTCCGATGGGCGCTTGGCATCAGCGCCCATCGGAGATATTACATGGACTTTTTGGTGTGGTCAAGTGTCCGCGAGACCCGGTGGGCGGAGCCAGTCTTTCTTGACAAGTTGACAATGGCGGCGGCATACGAGACAGAGACCGTGCAATCTCTTCTTCAAAATCCATTTGAAAGAAGACCACTGGCTGAAAAGCTTAAAATAAAAGAAACGGGACCGGACCAGCCACAAATTAACATCAGACAGCAGGTGAAAGACAAGGAAGCGTCTTATACCAGAGGCTTTTCGCGGACATGGTACACTAGGAAGCCGTGGCTAACCGGCTGCGGAGTAGCTAACGCGCTGTTTTGCTTTCCTTGTTTGCTGTTTAAAACTGCCGCGACCGATTGAGCCTGGTGTGAAAACGGTGTTCGGGATATGAAACATATTTCGGAAAAAATCAAAAAACACGAACACACAAAGATGCATATGGACAACTGCCTGAAATTTGCGTTGCTGGGAAAGGCTAACATTGCTACTCAGCTGGATGATGGTCACCGGCTTTTTATAAGAAGGCACAATGAGGAAGTCGACAAGAATTGTTATATTCTGTCTAAACTGATTGACTGTGTAAACTTTTGTGGTGCTTTTGAATTGGCTTTGCGTGGCCACGATGAGACTGAAGCCTCTGACAACCCAGGCATTTTTAGGGGCCTTGTTAACTTCGCCTCGTCGTTGGACGCTGCTCTGAAGGAGCATTTGGAGGGAGCTACTGTGTTCAGAGGTACGTCCAAAACTATTCAGAATGAGCTGCTGGACTGTATGCTGGCTGTTGTTCAGGAGTACATTCAGGACGAGGTGACTGCGGCTGATTATATTGCTATTCAAGCCGATGAAACATCTGACTTGTCTGTCCAGTGCCAACTTGTACTTGTACTTCGCTACATCGACCGCTACAACGTAATTCAAGAGCGCTTTTTTGAGTTTATACCAATTGAAAACGCTAATGCTGAAAACATCGCTCAAGCACTTTTGGAAAGGATGAGTGTGTTGATCCTACCCAATGACAAGACCAAATTAATAGCTCAAGCTTATGACGGAGCGAGCGTTATGCGGGGTGCCACTGGAGGAGTTCAGCGTAAAGTGATGGATGTTTATGAAAACGCACACTACGTGCATTGTTACGCACATCAGCTCAATCTGGTAATGCAGCAAGCCACCTCAAAGATACCCAAGGTCTCCACATTTTTTTCGGAGCTAGGTGGATTTTGTGCATTTTTTTCAAGGTCCCCCAAACGAACCAGCGTGCTTGATGATGTGGTTGGCAGCAGACTTCCGAAAGCGTGTGCAACAAGGTGGAACTTTCACAGTCGCTCAGTGAACACTGTATATGAGCACAGGGATGACCTTCTTAAGTGTTTTAAGACCATTCAGGACTCTGGGAACTTTGATGCTGTGACTGTGAGAGAAGCAGGAGGGTTTGTGAGGATGCTGGAGGATGGTACATTTTGCTTTTTTCTCCAACTATTTCACAAAATCATGCCACACGTCGACATGCTCTTTCAGCAGCTTCAGAAACGAAACATTGACCCCATCTTCATCAAAGCTGCCATCTGTAATTTTGCCGACAGCATCATAAACATCAGGTAAATGTGAAAAATCATAGGAATAACATGAATGCAGAATAATGTAGTACAGTATTAAGCAATTGTTTTATGTTTAAACAAGGTCTTCCATAATCACTGTGCAAGAGGAGATTCCAGCTGCCAAGCGACAGAGGACACTGGGGCCCGCAGAAAGACATCGGATTGCTATTGAGGTACAGCTTTGTTCACTTTCACATGTCTCCTCTTGTGCTCTAGTCCAGTGGTTCTGAAAGTGGGGGTTGGGACCCCTCGGGGGGTCGCGAGACCCTGGGTAGGTGTCTTCAGCTGATTTCAGGATGAAATAAAAACAAAAAATGCAACTGTTTTTAGCATATTTTTTAGTGTATAACAGAATTTAATTATCAAAATAAACAGTTTAAATACATATGAACTTGATTTTTAAATGTTTTTCTTCCCTAAAGTAGCGTAAGAGGCAATTACTTTATACAACGATGTTCCAAGTTGTTTACGTGCCATTTTTTGGATTCCCTGCCAAAAAGGTTTGGGAACCACTGCTCTAGTCTACAGTAGTGCTTCACAAACTGCTGCACGGTTACTGGTGCCACTCAGAGGTCCTCTGCTGTTCTATAGTTTTAATTTTGTGTTTTGTTTGAAGCAGTTACTAATGTTTTGCCATATCAAAATCACTTTATCTGTTAGGGACTTTATTTGCTGAGAAAGTACCACTACAGATAAAAACATAGCACATGTACAGAATGATGTACATTACACAAATTGTATTTTGGATTTCCTCTGCATCTCAATTCACTAATGATTTAGTTCTCTTGTAGATCATTGATTAGTTTTGGTTTAGACAACAGTATTTCATACCTGATTTTTGCATATCCACATTTACTACTATACTCAAATTATTGTGACATAATTTAATGAAGCTCTTTGTAAAGCAATTAATGTTATTTATTTTCTATGTTTTACAGGTGTGTGATACCATCTGGGCTCAAACAAAGGAACGCTTTGCGTTTACTGGGCACCTTGTGAGTTCAACACTGCTGCATGGAGAGCTGTTCTCACAACATTCTACAACCTTTCCAAGTGCTGCTTTGAATGCCACCGTGGAGGCCTATCCAATGCTGAACAAGGCTAGACTGAAGACGGAACTATCCTTGGTCTATGAAAACCCGGAGTTTGAAAAGTGTAGTGGTGCAGTGCCTCTGTATCAGTTTTTTATGGAGAACAACCTTCAGTGCACATTTTCAGAAACGGTTAAACTTCTAAAAATTCTTATCACTACTCCAATGACATCGGCAGAATCTGAAAGATGCTTCTCCACTCTAAAAAGAATCAAAACGTTCCTAAGGAACACAATGTCTCAAGAAAGACTGAAGGCCCTTGCCATGCTTTCTATGGAGAAAAAGATTGTGAAAGAAATGCCCAACTTCAACAGCAAAGTTATTGATAGGTTTGCAACCCAGAAAGAAAGGAGAGCCAAATTTCTTTACAAGTGACATAATCATCTCAGCTGCTTCTCTCCATCAGGCACAAAGCATCTCCTCTACTCCTCCAATCACAGCAGCATCTCCTCTACTCCTCCAATCACAGTAGCATCTCCTCTACTCCTCCAATCACAGTAGCATCTCTCCTCTGCTCCTCCAATCACAGTAGCATCTCTTCTGCTCCTCCAATCACAGCAGCATCTCCTCTGCTCCTCCAATCACAGTAGCATCTCCTCTGCTCCTCCAATCACAGCAGCATCTCCTCTGCTCCTCCAATCACAGTAGCATCTCTTCTGCTCCTCCAATCACAGTAGCATCTCTTCTGCTCCTCCAGAGACACAGCAGCATCTCCTCTGCTCCTCCAATCACAGCAGCATCTCCTCTACTCCTCCAATCACAGCAGCATCTCCTCTACTCCTCCAATCACAGTAGCATCTCCTCTACTCCTCCAATCACAGTAGCATCTCCTCTGCTCCTCCAATCACAGTAGCATCTCCTCTGCTCCTCCAGAGACACAGCAGCATCTACTCTGCTCCTCCAAGCATAGTAGCATCTCCTCTACTCCTCCAATCACAGCAGCATCTCCTCTGCTCCTCCAAGCACAGCAGCATCTCCTCTGCTCCTCCAGAGACACAGCAGCATCTCCTCTGCTTCTCCAGAGACACAGCAGCATCTCCTCTGCTCCTCAGAGACACAGCAGCATCTCCTCTGCTCCTCCAAGCACAGCAGCATCTACTCTGCTCCTCCAAGTACAGCAGCATCTACTCTGCTCCTCCAAGCACAGCAGCATCTACTCTGCTCCTCCAAGTACAGCAGCATCTACTCTGCTCCTCCAAGTACAGCAGCATCTACTCTGCTCCTCCAAGTACAGCAGCATCTACTCTGCTCCTCCAAGTACAGCAGCATCTCCCCTTCTCCTCCAATCACAGTAGCATCTCCTCTGCTCCTCCAGAGACACAGCAGCATCTACTCTGCTCCTCCAAGCACAGCAGCAGCATCTCCTCTGCTCCTCCAAGCACAGCAGCAGCATCTCCTCTGCTCCTCCAAGCACAGCAGCAGCATCTCCTCTGCTCCTCCAAGCACAGCAGCAGCATCTACTCTGCTCCTCCAAGCACAGCAGCAGCATCTCCTCTGCTCCTCCAAGCACAGCAGCAGCATCTCCTCTGCTCCTCCAAGCACAGCAGCAGCATCTCCTCTGCTCCTCCAAGCACAGCAGCAGCAGCATCTCCTCTGCTCCTCCAATCACAGTAGCATCTCCTCTGCTCCTCCAGAGACACACAGCAGCATCTACTCTGCTCCTCCAAGCACACAGCAGCAGCATCTCCTCTGCTCCTCCAAGCACAGCAGCAGCATCTCCTCTGCTCCTCCAAGCACAGCAGCAGCATCTCCTCTGCTCCTCCAAGCACAGCAGCAGCATCTACTCTGCTCCTCCAAGCACAGCAGCAGCAGCATCTCCTCTGCTCCTCCAAGCACAGCAGCAGCATCTCCTCTGCTCCTCCAAGCACAGCAGCAGCATCTCCTCTGCTCCTCCAAGCACAGCAGCAGCATCTCCTCTGCTCCTCCAGAGACACAGCAGCATCTACTCTGCTCCTCCAGAGACACAGCAGCATCTCCTCTGCTCCTCCAAGCACAGCAGCAGCATCTCCTCTGCTCCTCCAGAGACACAGCAGCATCTACTCTGCTCCTCCAGAGACACAACAGCATCTTTGTATAGCATGTTTTGAGTTTCTCACCGTTCCAATTAATGTACAGTCTTCTCCCTCTAGTGGTCACTCTATGTAATGGCAAATATTTAATTATTTGTTTATTGAATATTGACTCTTTGCACTCACTGTAATTCATGCAAATAACAGCAATTACAAATTCATCTTGTATGACTTGGTTTCCAATGGATCTCAAATTGGCACATCTTTCTGTCTTTGAAAGAACAGTATTTGAAATATACAAGAACATTCTAAATTCATATTACATTTGATACTATTTATTTATTACATTAACACCAAAGTAATGGCTCAAAAACAAACAGCAGCAATTGTTTAATTGCAAAAAAAATTAAAAACACATGGTACCTCAGCCCCCCCTACTTTTTCCATCACCAGCCGCCACTGCTTTACAGGAACATTTGACTCTTAAAACACACTTCATCAACATAGAACCATCAACATCTCGCCTCATATTGCGTTAAAAGTGACATCTGTGTCTTAATTTGTTCGTATTTAAACTTGTCAGACACGCACGAGAAGGCAGTGCAAACCCGACGTTACACCGGCGATCCTGATTGGTCGATTATTTTCTGATCTGCAGAAGGAGTTTGGTATATGCTCGATACCAGACCAATGTGGTTCAGCCAAACACCTCTGGTGGAGCATGGAGGAACTACATGGGTCTGGCAGAGCCTGGCTAATTGTAAGTTGCATTGAGCGTCAGAAAAAGACTAAATGATAAACAGAATAAAACCAGTGAAAAGGACGGCAGTGACTGCAGTTTTTATATAAAGTACTGTTTGTGTTGCTTCCAATCTGAAAGTGTGTTCACATGATGCAAGTGTGTGTCATTTTGTCCTCAGAGTTTCATTTTGACAAAATGATTGTTCAGTTTTGAGAGCAGAGTTTGAGTTTTGATAAAGCAGTTTCATTTTGAGACAGATGTGAATGGTTTATGTCCCAGTGTGTGTCAGCTTCTCTTGTGTGCAGAGTTTTAGGACTATGAGCGACATTTGGACAAGTGTGTTCAAGCAACAGGAACAAACTGTAAAGCACTCATCACACACAGGATTCTAATGCCTCAGCTTCACATTTATGGAGGAGTATGGCGCCCCCTGCTGGCTGCTTTGGTGCATGACTAAAGTCACTACGAGTGAGTGGCACATTTGAAAGTGTCTTTGGCTGAAATTGTCCATTGAATGTATTTAGAGAAAGCAAACTTCTTCATATTCTCTGCAGTGAAATAAAAGTATATTTATAAATGTAAACAGCTAAAGGAACATGTCCTGGATCAAAGTGTGGACATTGATAGTGGGAGGAAAACTTCCTCTCTCTATCAATGAGAGAATAATAACAGTACAACAGGAAACTACTGTGTGTGGATCAAATGTTCTTCTGACGTTTATTGCTTTCATTATTAACATCTGAGCTTCAGGAAACATCTGAGCGTGTAAATATGATTCTGGATGTGACAGATATCACTGGAGAGGATTTGGAGACAACACTGACAAAGAACATTGTGTAGAAAGAGGCTAAGGCTGGGGATTAGCATTAGTATTTTACAGAATGTGTCAGATCTGAAAACAGTGTTTCTCTGAACCTGCTTTAACCCAGACTGAGGCATAAACCTGACATGTTGGGGCTAATCAACTCCTTTTAGACAAAAAGCAGCCAGTCTTTTGGCTCCTGCTTGACGTTCAGGCCACCCCTCCCATGACTACGCTTTGGTTCATTCTCACCTCATGGGAACCCCCGCAGTGGGAACCATCTACTGAAAGAGGAACTAGACTGGGACCATTTAGAGGAGAACGCTACAAGGTGAGTGTGTCTGAATTCATTGAGAATAATGGTGCGTTCAGACCAAACGCGATTTCTGCGGCCAAAGCGGCGGGTCTACATTGACACAACATGGGGGACGCGCGCCAAGGAGCGGCGAGAGATCACGCGGCGCGATTCGCGCGGCCAGAGCGGCGCGAATTCGAGCGTTTCGCGCGATTCGCGCGGCGTGTTTTGAGATGTCAAGCGTTTTGACGCGCGTTTCGCGCGATTCGTGCCTCCAACGCGGCCGCCGCTAGAGTTGAACAATGTTGAACTTTTTGGGAGAATTCGCGTGTGCCGACCAATCAGGAGCTTTCTCCTCCAGTGACGTAGTGACGCATAAAATAGATCTATGGTAAAACTCAGTGCAGCCTCTGTACAGCGTGTGCCGCGTCTGAACGCTGTGATGTTTACATGTCGCCTCCACGCGACTGTCAAGTGCCTGAGACGTTTGGAGAGATCCGGTAATTTATCAAACTAAAGTATTCTTCTCTTGGCAGTCTGGTGAATGACCATTCACCATACTGAATGGTGAATCAGGAGCACTGTCAAAGACACATCTTTTCCATCAAAGGCCTCCGTAGTACCCTGGACTGCAATATAAGATCTCAACACTAGATGGCAGTAAAAATTACACAGTGTACCTATAAAGAACCCTCACAGTGACTCTTAGTCTTTTACATCAACAGCTGACGATCGACACCTGGTTTTAGACGTTTTTAAAGACTATTTATTATGATTTTGATATTCTCTCCTCCTCTGTTTCTTCCTCTGTCTTCTCCTGTCTCCTCTGTCTCATCTTCTGTCTCTTCCTCTCTCTCTCCTCCTCTGTCTCTTCTTCTGTCTCCTCTTCTGTCTCCTCCTCTGTTTCTTCCTCTCTCTCCTCCTCTGTCTCCTCTTCTGTCTCCTCTTCTGTCTCCTCCTCTGTTTCTTCCTCTCTCTTCTCCTGTCTCCTCTGTCTCATCTTCTGTCTCTTCCTCTCTCTCTCCTCCTCTGTCTCTTCCTCTCTCTCCTCCTCTGTTTCTTCCTCTCTGTCTCCTCTTCTGTCTCCTCCTCTGTTTCTTCCTCTCTCTTCTCCTCTGTCTCATCTTCTGTCTCTTCCTCTCTCTCCTCCTCTGTCTCTTCCTCTGTCTCATCTTCTGTCTCTTCCTCTCTCTCTCCTCCTCTGTCTCCTCCTCTTTTTCCTCTCTGTCTCTTCCTCTCTCTCTCTCCTCTGTCTGCTCTTCTGTCTCCTCCTCTCTCTTCTCCTGTCTCCTCTGTCTCATCTTCTGTCTCTTCCTCTCTCTCTCTCCTCCTCTGTCTCTTCCTCTGTCTCCTCTCTCTCTCCTCTTCTGTCTCCTCATCTGTCTCTTCCTGTCTCTCCTCCTCTGACTCCTCAGTCTCATCTCTGTTCTGTTTTGACTTTCCTCCACATTTTTCACTGAATCAGTCCATCAAGCGTTTTCTGGACTTCTTTGAAACAAACAAGGACGATCTGACCAGGTGTATTCATGAACAGACGGAAAAGATTGAGAAGAGAAATGTAGCAATGCTGACTACAGTCATTATAGGTCTAGGAGCCGTTGTAGGAGCCGCTGTAGGAGCCGCTGTAGGTGTCGCTGCTGCTCCATTCACAGGAGGACTGAGTTTGACATTGGTTGGAATCGGAGCTGCTGCTGCTGGTGCTACTGCTGGTGCTGCTGCTGTTGCTGTTGTTGATCTTGCTGTTGAATCTGTTGCAGACCTCATATTCAGAACAAACAGCAGCAGAGCAAAGAAGGAGGCAGTAAAGAAAATCAAGGCCACAAAAAGAAAGTTCATATCCACAGTGAAGCAGTTACAGACACGGGTGAACAATGTGAAGAGATGCTGCAAGCAGCTGCAGGAATACGACGCTGTGTTAAAGTTCTAACATTTAAAGTCCCCTTCCGCCAACTGAAGCCAGTTGGAGACATTAAGAGGAACTCTGCAATAAAGACTGTTGCTGCGATGGAGAAGATTCTACATGAACTTAATAAAACCAAGACTGTCTTTGAACGTGTTCTGCAACACATAAGAAGACAAGAACAGACATCATCTCTGGACTTAACCTGAAGACCTGGTTTTTTGTGTTTTGGATGTGAGGTTTTTACACGGGTCACTGACACACACCGTTCTGTGTTCAATAAGCTCACGGTTTAATAAAACAAATATATATATATATATATTAGGGCTGTCAAAATTATTGCGTTAACGCACGTGAGTTAAATGTTTCATTATTGCGTTATTTTTTTTTAACGCATCAACGCATGTTCGAATGACCCATTTGTCCATAATATCACTCAGAATGACCCATGTGTCCATAATATCACTCAGAATGACCCATGTGTCCATAATATCACTCAGAACAAACAACAGCAAGTGCCCCGTATCCTCTGTGTCAGCGGCCACGGAGGATGCGGGCTGAAGTCCGCATCCTCCGTGGCCGCTGACAATAACACGGAAAATGGCGCTGCGGTAACGTGATCCAAGACCATACACTCTGTGCGTAACCTGTGCACACAAACACACCGCTGAAGCTGAACTATGGAGCCTCAGGAAGTGTCCGTGTCTCCTCGCCACTAAACTCGCTAAATTTGTATGTGTATTTTAATGTGTGAAGAGCTTTGTGACCCTGGTCTGTGAAATGCACTATACAAATAAACTTTACTTACTTACTTAAATTAAAGCTGGGGTACGTAAATGTTCCCTTTCATTAACAGCTCATGTTGGTTTCGCCCAAAATTAAATTGTTGTGAATCAAACAGATTTAAGTACATTTGGTTTGAATGACAATGTGTCATTACATTTGATAATCTCATTTAACTTCAATTGGAGTGGATTTGAAATAGAACGTTAAAAATGCGATTAATCGTGAGTTAACTCACCATTACTATGCGATTAATCAACTAAAACATTTTAATCGTTTGACAGCCCTACTATATATATTATATTTTTCCTTTATTAAAGACAACAAAACAGACAAGAACAGACATTCAACAAGAACAAATAAGTATCTAGGTATATGTGTCACAAGTGTAAAAAAACAGGTTCTTCGGACCCGGGTTTAAAAAAGACCACTGGATTAAAAGTAAATTAAAAGCAATTTATTATAAAATACATTAAAAATAAGTAAATGAATAAAAGCAATAAAACCTAAGCTAAAAGCCCGGGATAAAAGTTAAAGAGGCTAAAA